ATGGTCGCTTTTATCTTCTACAATTTCAACAAATAAAGATAAAAACAAAAACAAAAACAAAAATAGATAAATACATGGAGAACCAAAAAAAAAAGATAAATACATGGAGAACAATGATTTGAATACCATTTTTCATGCCTTTTGAAATGAGATGACTACACTGATCTTAGGGATGGAAATTGATGCAGTTTGATGAATTGTTTCAGATTAGTTTTGCAGCAGTGTGTGGTGGACACTATAGAGGTTTTGTTATTAAGAAATGTGTGTTAAGAGTACACAACTCAAAATGAGATATAGGGTAAGAGTCTACCAATTTAGTGGACAGTAATGATACATAATTCTAATATTAGAGTTCTAAATAAAACTCTAATGAGGTGGAAGAGAGAGAGTAGAGAGGGATAGAGAGAGGAGTGTGGGTTCCACCTTCACATGGGCACTATCCACATCATTAGAGCTGTATTAGAGTTCTCAAATTAAAACTCCCAAACATTATTCTTTAGTGAAGACCAAGGTAGGTGAAACTTTTGCACAAGATGTTAGTAACATTATTGAGTTCAGAACCTTTAAAGCAATTGCCGATGCGGAAATTGTGCAAAGGGGTCAAAACAAAATTATTTAGATTTAAAAAAAATTAAACTAAGATTATTTAGATTTTAGAAACCAAAATATTAATTTATTTTATAAATACTCAAAATTACATGAAAGTAATGAGATTTTTCAAAGGTTTTGGGTGGATAAAATACTAATTTATTTTATAAATACTAAAAATTGCATGAAAATAATGAAAATTTTCAAAATTTAAAGTAGCAAAAGAGTAAAACTATTTAGATTTTGGAGGGTTTGAAGTAGAATTACATAAATTTTGAAGAGACCAAAATGCAAAATTTTTATAAATATTCAAAATTAGATGGTAAAAGTGTAAATTTTCAAAAGTTTGGGAGGCGGTGGCCACTGCCCACAACCCCCTTGTTGCCACTGCTTTAAAGTAATTTTTTTAAATATAATTTTGGAGTGATTTTTTATATGAAATTAGGATTTGGGAGCAGAAAAATAAAATGACTGTTATATTTTTAATTTTTATAAAATTAAATCTCAATCATTTAAAAAAATATATTTTGAAATCACTGTAAATGATTTGGACTCATAATATCCAGGTAAAAGTCCTCAAGTCATTTCTTCTTTGCCTGCTTAAAATTAGGGTTGGTTTGGGATGTTTTAACTAAGTGTACTTTTTGATTTTTTATGAAATATGGATTGGGTATGAGTTAGGTTTGAAGTGATATTATAGAGAAGTAATGTGACTTAAATAAGATAATATGATTTAAATAGAATAGTAACTTTTTGACTTTTTTAATATATACCAAATAATAAGAATTCCTTGTCATTTGTCCAGCCTTAAAAAGATTGATTTGTACAATCCAAATTAATTCTAGTTGTAATTGAACGTCCAATTAATTCGATGAGCTTTATGGGTCCTCAATATACAAATAAAAGCAATAAGACTTAGGGCCTCCACAATGGGATGGCTAAAAAAATATATTAATGTGTGTTTTATATGACAAAAAGTAATAAAAGTGGGGCCTAAAAATGTTTGTTAAGATGTGTTAAGAGTTTGTTAATTTTAGAGAATGAGTGGTAGTGCAATAGATGTGTTAAGGGGTGTGTTATGGTGTGTGTTAAATATATATATATATATATATATATATATGTATATATAATAAATAAAATAAGTAAATAATTTAGTTTAATCAAAAATTTCAAGTCCAAAATTAAATTTCATGTCCAAAAAAAAATCCCAAAAAGAAAAAATATATATATATTTCCGTTGACCGGTCAACCGGTAAGACAAAAAAATGTCCTCTCCCGCTAGCTAAAACACTCGCTGCAGATAACAAACACACTAACACTTGATACTAACGAAGTGGACTAATACTACCCTTAACAGCTCCATTACACCACCTAACAAACATTGCTAATTAAAATTTAACAACTGACACTAACACTATCGTTAATAGTTCCACTGTAAATGCTCTTAGTGGTAGTTGAGTGACCATTGAAATTATTACCCACACTAGTCCTAGGAGCAAAACCTTTGTACCAACGACAATATACAGATCAACCACCCAAAAACAAAATCCAAACACGTGAGTGTTCAGTGTTTTTTTTTTTTAATTAATTTTATTTTTATTTCTTAAACTATCGTTACTTTTAGAAAAAAATTATTTCATCCCTAAACTAATAATCATTTATTTAGTTTGGCCTCGTTTGTTAATGTTTTCAGGTTTTAGTTTAGAAAAAATAAGAAACACGTTTTCCTTTATTTTTATAAAAAACAAAAATAAAAAACTTGTTTGATATATAAACATATTTTGAAAACATATAAAAATAAAAACAAAGAAATATATTTAATAAGTGGTCGAATTTGGTAATCGGAGATGGTGGGTGGATGGATATGGTGACCAGTAGTGATGAGTAGCCGAACGTGTCTGCCAAAGTTAGTGGTCTGATGTTGTTGGAAGACACGAGGTTGGCCGGAGCTCGTCACCCGCCCATCGATGGTGGGGAGGTGGTGGTCAGTGGTGGCGGTGGTTGAGCCAAAGGTGGTGGGTTGAAGGAGAAAGTAAAAACTTGTTTTAAAAACAAGTGAAAATAATTTTTTTGTGTATTCAAAAATTTTGAAATGTATTTCATTTTTTTGAAAAAAAAAAAAAAACACACACACACATTAACAAATGACAATTTTTGAATTGAGTTCATATGATTCAATTAACGATACTCCATCAAAACGCAATTTAAACCATACAATTAAACATAATTTTTTTTTATTCATTATTTTGAAACGAGGGATGGAGAAGATTATGAGTATTTGGTAAGTTTTCTAATATAGGGCGATGAATATATAAGATGTGCATTTGGTTGTATAATTCATGTTGTTCATATTATAAAGTTATCTGACTATGTTTTAACAGTTATTGATTTGGACAGACTACTTACAATTGGAGCATATATGCTGAAATTTTTTTACGGACTAATAGATGAAATAGAAAAAATAAGGATAAATTACAAATAGCTCCTAACAATAATAAAATAAATACAATCTTCTTCTAAATATTCACAAAAATATTTCTAATTACTCTATTATATAACAATAAAATTACTTAAATAGTTTTAATTGAAATTTATTTTGATAACATTAAAAGCTATTAATTTACTTAATTTATTAATAAATGAGGTCATTTGTTATGTGTATTGAAACTTGAAAAGACTAGATGCAATTTTCAAAATCATAAGGAATAATTCGTGTTTCAACCAAAATTTTGAGACTGTATTTATAATTTATCCAAAAAAATCATGATAATTTAAAAGATAAAAGTAAAATTAATCCTAAATTTTTATTTTCTGGGAAAACAGAGCACAGGAAAGGTGTTTGGAGGTTTGGAGGCATCAAGAGTAGGGGTGCTCGCGGATTGGTTTTGTGCGGTTTGTGGTTCGGTTTTGACCCGCCCACATCTATGCAGTTTGGAAAAAAGTCAACCCGCAACCGCCCGAAGTGCGGTTTACGGTTTGTGCAGATAGGGTTTGCAGATGTGCGGGTGGTTGCGAGGGGTTTGCGGTTTACATTTTTTTCTTTAAAAATTAATTTTTGAGTTTTTTTTTTTCCATCGAATTTAGGCATCAGATTCATTTTATATATTTGTGATCATTTGACAACAATTTTTTAATGAGTTTACAAATAAAAATTGAATATCAATGCATTAAATAAAAGTACTCAAAACAAAGAGACCTTACACTAGCATTTTTGCTATGAAAAAAATGTATATTAATGCATTAAAAAATGTATATCAATGCATTAAAAGTTGTACTCAATTAGAATTGTCAGTTCAGTAATCAATAATCAAACTAGAAGCTCCATCGACCACAAGAAGGAAAATTTTATTAGGAAAAAGTGAATGAGTCAATAATGAAAATCATATAAGGAACCAAGTTTAGGACTTGATAATTCTACGACATTAAGAAAGTTGAGAAATACTTAAAAATAAGAGAACATAATGGTGCTCCTGTTAAAGTTACAAAGTTGGTATATAAAAAATAATAATAAGAAGAAGAAGAAGAAGTAAAATACGGGCGGTTTTTGCGGGTTGCGGGTTTAACCCACGACCCGCCTGCAACCGGCAAATTTGTCATATTTCAAATCGCATCCGCCTGCATTATGTTTGCGAAACCGCCCATTTATATGCGGTTTGAGCAGTTCGGACGGTTCGGACGGTTCAGATAAACCGTTGCCCACCCTTAATCAAGAGCAGTAGTAGTTTTAGCTGATGAGATAATGGGAGCCACTAATTTGCCAACTGGCTCTAAAATATAGCAAAATGATGATCTGTATGTATTTGATCTACTCATAATCCATAAGTATGGCCAAGACTGAGCTTTCAAGGGGGCAAAGCTACAATCCAATGGAGTTTCCACAGATCTTTTGTTGGACTTCAATTATCTTTTTTTCCCATCTATCTCAGACTTGACTAGGATTTGGGGATTAAAAGCTGGCATTGAAAATGATAGAAACCTTCAAGAATATGTCAAAAAAAAAAAAAAACACTTAAATTGTGCTATTTACCAAAATAAAATCTAAAGTAAGCAACTTTTAAATCAGCAAGAGTTAGACAATTACTTCGGTTTATGTGTTTTCGAAACCAAAAATCAATAATAAGTTTGGAAGCACTCTACAAATATTCAGAAAACAATTAATCACAAAAAGGGGCATTCACGAAGTTTTTTTTTCTCAAAAATAGTTTCCGAAAACAGTTTGCCAAAAGAGATTTGCATATCAGTTGTTTCTATTAAGAAGAAAAAATATAAAACAAAAACGATATTATGTGTAATGTGAAATTAGAACAAGTAAGAATTAAGCACCAGTTTGTAGTCATAAAAGTAGTTCATCTAGGATTCAAAATGTTGTTTTACATTGTATAAACATACATGAAAAATCAACATGGCATTTCTGTTCAGGTCCAAATCGTTTGAAAATTAGCTAAATTTTCAATCAGCACAACTACATAATCCAACTCTCTACAATCTTTATTCCTTTGTTGTAAATCCCAAAAAAATTGCATCATCCCTAATCATTATCACCGTTGAACATCTCATACATCTTTTTGTCTCGCCTCTCTGATTCCTCACTTAAGTTCCGCTAATATTTGTGTGTTTAAGTTAATCTCACATAACAAATACAATCTTCTTCTAAATATACACAAAAATATTTCCTTTCAACTGGCTTCACTTTCTTTGAAGCCATTGTGTCATTGAATATCTCGAGTACAGAAAGGGAACTGAACTTCAGAATCTTTGATACATGCGTTGAAAAGTTGTCCATTCGTGGCAGCAAGTTAATAATTTTACATCACTTCTGTAGTTCTGGCATTGTCCTCGACTATTTTAGCCTTTGATTTTGCTGCTCGTGATGATCTTGATGAGGACGATTTAGGGGAGGAAGTTGATTTGATCTTCTTCCGCTTTGATTTTTTTGGAATGTTGGGAAGGTCTGTGGGGGGTACTGGAACATCTTTGAACATGTCAGCTGCTGGTTGCCGGTACATTGATTCAAAGTCTATTACAAAAAATAAAAAATAAAATAAAATATGAGAAGTGTAAACAAAAGTGAATGCAAAAGAGTAACCATAACATGGAAAGTGAGTGAACAACAAAAAATACCGTCGTGTCTCAACAAGAAAATTTTCATCTTTACTGGGTAAGAAAAGGAATCAAAAAACAAAGAATTGATATCATCTATATGTATGGATCTTGGATTTGTTAAGGAAAAGGAACAAATAAGAAAGAAATGAATGGGGGGTACTGGAACATCTTTGAACATGTCAGCTGCTGGTTGCCGGTACATTGATTCAAAGTCTATTACAAAAAATAAAAAATAAAATAAAATATGAGAAGTGTAAACAAAAGTGTATGCAAAAGAGTAACCATAACATGCCCCCAAAAAAAAAAAAAATTGAAGATGTTGAATAAATGATTTTTCATTTTTCATGTTATTTTCTCAGCCAAGCAAACAAAAGTAGGGAATAAGCTTACCTTATTTCATCTTTTTACTTTTCCTTTTCTTACCCTTTACTTCTCCTTTCATTCAACAAATCAAGATTGAAAAATAGCACAGAGCAATTTCACTTGTGCCAATTTGAGCACATTAGCATAAGCTTAACTAAGCATTTCAATGGAAAGACTATTTACTTAATGATATTTTTATTTACAATGTATTTTCATTATTTTTTTTAATAAACCAAACGTAGGAATGAACATTCCTATGAAATGATCATTTTGCAAGATTACAAGATATTTACTTTTTCTAGGGGCATCAGTTTACAAAGTTGAGAAAAAAACAATAGGTACACAAAACTTCACAGAAAAATATTCAAAATACTCTTCTTTTTTTTTTTTGAAGGAAGGATATATTGCATTCATAAAAGGGAGAATTACTACTCGAGCCACAAAAATAATTACAAAAGAGTTTGGGGTGCAACTTTTCCTGTCAATTTTTTCAAAAAAAAAGTTGCACCCACCACCCCTATGTAATTATTTTCTCCCCCTGCAACTGTCAAGTAATTTTCCCTTCATTAAAAAAAAAAATTAAACAAAAAAACCAAAGTACAACTTCCATAGATAATAGTTCCAACTTGCATTCAAAATACTATCTTGTGAATATTTGTTTTTTATTTATTGAATGTTATAGATAATATGTGGAAGTACTGTTATAGATTCCCCTAGCAATAGAAACATTGCCCCGTGACACAAGATCCAAACTTGGTTCTTCCTCTTGAAAGAAAATAATATAAGTATCCTTCTTCCTAGCTTACAAAACTAGCTCCAAATTTCACACAATGAGAGGACAAACCTCTCATCTCTCTCTCTCTCTCTCTCAAATAAACATTTCAACCCGTGAAAAGGCCTTGTTGGCATTTGTCTGACTAAAAACATGGCACATGCCTTTCAATTTTGAATGCGTTTGGTGCAATTTATTATAAATTAACAATTAATTATTGAAAAGTAAAATTTAAAAACACCAGTCTTATTGTTTTCTAATAATTAACTTTTTTAACTAAATTATTTTAGCATCATAAATTATAACCAGTATTATAAGTTGCATCAAGTAGCAAATTACTCAAATGACATACCGGTCCGTACTAATCTCTCTTTTTTCTTTTTTTGGACTACATAGAAACATTCTTTGTTCTTGGAGGATTGAAAGATGAAAATGAAAGAACAATGAAAAAAGAGATGAGAAACAAACCTTGAGATGACCATGTGGACATTGCAGAACTGGAACCTTTTGTTTCATTGAGGTTGCCAATAGATGTTACCGCGAAATCGGATGCAGTCCTGAACTCATTCATCTACATTTCCCATAGAAACAAACAGAAAAATAAAAAATAAAAAATAACAAAAAATTATGATTAGAGGAAATTGAAAAGGAAAAACAGAGAAGACTCAAGGAAATGATTCAGAAGACAAAAAAGAGAAGCTTCACAACACAGAATGACATTAATTTGGGAATGGATTCATACCCAGCTTGGTGCACTACCAGAAGGGCCATCCCACCCAATATGTGCCACGTGTTTAACATCTGTTGGGTACCCAATTTCCATCTCACGCTCCTTCACAACTACCAAATAAAAAATAAAAATTTAAAATTTAAAAACCCCCGAAATTTGATCACAGAGGTAAATATCAGCAATATTAAGCACCCAAAAAATGAAATCTATGGATCAGATTTATTCTGGCCATAACTCACAGTATATTGAATTTCAAGGTAACTTTTTAAATACATGATTTTTCTGGGAAAATAAACCCAAATTACATACATGAGAGAGAGGGAGGGAGAGAGAGAGAGAGAGAGATTACCAAAGATTTGGGAGATGTACTTGAATCCTTTATAGAGACCTTTGATTTTGGTTGCCATGGTGAAACTACAATCCCAATCCAAGAGCTAGCCCTGTTCTAAGACAAATATGACACAATAGAGGAGGAAACACAAACACCACAGGTTTGTGAACAATTGGTTTGGTTGGTTCCTTTGCCTGTTACAAAGCAAACATACTTAAAATGTGGGTTTTCATAAATAATTTTTTACTCTTTTCCCCATCAAAATTAAAGAACAAAAACAAGAAAAATTAAAAGGGGACATTAAGAGTATTAAAGAAGGCATGAATAGGAACAGTTTGCCTGTGAAATGGGGTTGGTATCATCTAAGCATCATGCAACGTGGAGGGCATATAATATAACCACAATGCTTAAAGGCATCTGTATAATAACAAATAAAAATGAAAGAAGAAGCAAAAACTTGGAGGGTAAACATTTTTACCTTTTTTCAGAGAGAGGTTGATGAGGTGTTACAAGGAGAAGCTCCTCCTCCTCCTCCTCCTCCTCTTCTAGCTACTTTAAGCATTTTACTATTCCCCAAATTTTTTTTTTTCCCCTTCAAAACTGTTGTTGATGTATACGTAAACAATATTCAAATAAAGCCCAAGCTTAGAGGAAATGATGATGTTGGGCTTGATGAAGAGTTGAAGATGGAGATGGAGATGGAGATGATAAGATAAATGGTAGATTGCACGAAGAGGAGGAGGAGGAGGAGAGAGAGAGAGAGAGAAGTGAAGAGGAGGAAGACAGAAACAAGAGATGGGACAGCCACGAAAATTAGCCTAAAGAAGGTGAGGGGTTTGTTTTGAAGGAGGGAGCCTGAGAGGGACCGGGAATGGAGTCAAATGCGTCTAGAAAAAAAAAGATTAGGAGCTTTAAAAAAGTTTTAATTGATGTGTGGGTCTAATGTTTTAATCTTAATTTTTTTGGGGGAATACAGAGGAGAGAGAGAGAGAGAGAGAGAGAGAAGTGAAGAGGAGGAAGACAGAAACAAGAGATGGGACAGCCACGAAAATTAGCCTAAAGAAGGTGAGGGGTTTGTTTTGAAGGAAGAAGCCTGAGAGGGACCGGGAATGGAGTCAAATGCGTCTAGAAAAAAAAGATTAGGAGCTTTAAAAAAAGTTTTAATTGATGTGTGGGTCTAATGTTTTAATCTTAATTTTTTTTATTTATATTATTAGTGTTTTTTTTAAGAATTTTTAAATATTTCTACTACTATTATTATTAATATTATTATTATTATAGAGTAATGTTAGAAACTAAAAATATTATAAATAAAAAGATATTATTCAGAATAGTTGAGGGAAAATTTTATGCTACACATCTTTCAAATTATGTGTATTATGTTATGTATTTTATAGTGTATATTATATATTTTGTGATAATATTGTATATTTTTATAGTTAAAATGTTTGGATAAAAATATGTGTAATTTATTAGAAAAATGCATAATATTAATATAAAATATATAAATTTATTGTTAAACAATAAATTGTCATAATCTTACCCCAAAAAAATTATAATATTCGTCATAAAAATACGTAACATGTAAATTTGGATTAACAAGTGTCATAGTAGAATTAACACTTACAATAACAGGTGGTTTGAAATATTTTAAATAAATATATGACTTTTTATATTAAAAAAATGTGTAGAAAAGTAGAGAAAATTGATAGAAAAGTAAAGAGGAGATATTGATTGATGTTGATTGATATGACCCAAATAATGTATGTATGTAAAAAAAAAATACTCCCTCCGTCCCAAAATATTAGTCTCTTATTCCATTTTTCATTGTCCCAAAATATTAGTTCCTCTTTATAAATCAAGTACAAAAATAATGTAAATTTCCTATTTTGCCCTTTTGTTAAATTAATAAACAATTTAAAAAGTACAATTATGACATTGATATTCCCAAAAAATATACTATCAAAAGGGTAATTTTGGAAAACCAACTTTTTTCAAATGCAATAAGTGTACTACCAAAAAAAGTTAGATTCCCCAAAAGGGACCAATATTTTGGGACGGAGGGAGTATATTTTTTTAGTACATACCAAACACTTACTAAATTTGGATTACATAATATTTTTCTTATTACTTTTCTACTGTTGAGTTCTTAGTTTCATAGTAATATTAACAATAATGCTAATGCTATGTTTGGTTGAGGGATTTGAGGAGAGATTTAGAAAGAGAAAGGGAAAAGATGTGTGAAACTAGTGAAATATAGGCATGTTTTATTCACATTTTATCTTACTTTTTCATTTTCCTTTCTAAATCCTTATCCAAATTCTCTAACTAAACACAACATAAGTGCATAAAATTATAACACAAAACAATGCATTATATAGCTGAGATATTATTTTAAGTATAGCCCATATCATATTCAAAAATAAATTTTAACTACACAGTACATTTTTTTTGTACACTTACAGATTTTTGATTAGTAAGATTACAGTAGCATAAGAATAGTATCATTAATTCATGAGACTTCCATTCTAACATTTAGTTGCAATTTTTATTAACCAAATTATATATGTGATAGACATTCAATTCAACAAAATTATAGAATTTTTAATATTGAAAGGGACATGTGATTTATAATCCCTGTACGGAAAAAGAACAAAATAGAAATATAATGAATGGTTATTCACTAACCTAATTATATAATTAATTTTATATTAATTAATGAAATTATTAATTCTTACGATATTAATTTTATTAAAGCGTTACTATATTATAATTTTGTACACTTAGAATTACTACTATAATAGTAATAAATAATGTGACATCATCTTTAATTGTTACTCGATTTAGGAGTTAATGATGGATGGGGACTTTTTTGGTGGTATGGCATTTTGTGTTGTAATTGGGCATTATGTGGTGTAATTGTCTTTTGACAGCTTTTCTTGTTGAACGAGTAAATCGCCAAGTCCTCCCTTTTAAGGGGAGAGCTCCTCTCCAGTTAGATATTCTAATTGAAGAATATTGTTGGGTTTTACTATGAAACTCGTATTGGTAATTAGAACCAATGATATATAGGATTCGTCGAGTATTTCAATCTTATAAAAATTATGTTGATTGGATATCGATAGCTACTTGATCAAAATACATTTATACAAATAATTTATTTTAAAAATTATACTTACCGTTAACACAAATGTGATCACATTAAGTGGCTATCGATATTCGATCAAAATAATTTTTTTGCAGAGATTAAATACTCAACGAGTCTTACACATTGAACAATTCAAATTATCAATATAGCCTCCATGATAGGTCCACGGAGGCCCAACAATACCCTCTAGTCCGATTTAGATAGGAGAGAAACTGTAGCCCTCCCTTAATATAGTGAAAATTATACTATGTTCTGGGGCAAATTCATGTAGTGCTTTTAATTTATTTTTTATTAATTAAATTTATCATTTTTATGTTGAGTTTTAAAAGACAACAAAACAAATATCACAAAGTAAATGATATGAAAGATTACTGCAAGATCACCGAATAATCTCTCCTTAAATCTCTCAATTTCTCTGGTTGAGCAGTCTGTCAATAGATGCAAATATCACCATAGTGATGTAATGTAGCAGTTCAATAACAACTCAATATGTTTGCATGCACCATAAATTCAACTGTTTCTTATCATAATTAATTAAAAGGGGTCTTTCTGTTGTGTTTTTAGGCCTCCGTTTGGGAAGTGGGTTGGCTTTTTGGCTTTTTGACTTTTTTGGCTATTTTAGCCTGGGCTAAAAAGTTTGGTTTGAGAAGGGCTTTTTAGCTTTTTTGATTTTTTTTGTGAGAGAATAGTGTAATGATTATGGGTTGGATGTGATGTTTTGTTTGTTGTGGCTAAAATAGCCTGTTTTGTCTTTTGTGGCTATTTTAACCCCAACCCAACTTGCCAAACACCAAAACATAAAAAAAATTGTAATTTTTTTATTATTATTATAAAATCCGTTTAAGAATAATGTGTATTTAGAGCAAATGTTAATAAAATCTTAATTAGAACAAAAAGTTTAAGTACATAGAGAAAGCAGAACACAGAATACACATTAACATTTGTATTTTGTGTCCCATTCTGTCAGTGCACATAGCAATTATAATTAAAATTAAGATAACTGCAAGAATACAATTCTTTTAAGAATCATGTGCATTAAGAGCACACATTAACAAAATCTTAATTAAAATTAGGAGAAATGTAAAAAAATGTAAACAACTTAAAATAATTGTTACCTTTTAGAGGTACATGTGAGATTGGGGAATGAATTTGATGCAAGTGAAAGCTAAGAATTGTATTCTGAAATTTTTTAGTTACTTGGCTTTAACGACTGGCTTACTACAATAAGATTCACACTGTTCTAGCGAGATCGTGTAAATATTTGAAATTACTATGATCTCAACACATGATCTAATAATTTAAATATCTTCGAATAAAGAAATAGAAAATTTTGAAACAAAAGATCGAGTGAAAAAAATGAATCTTACCAACAAGTGTCTTGAAGGCATAAGAAAAAATCAACAAATATGTAGATCTTAATAATAAATTTTGTATACTTTCTTTTTTTTAATAATAATTGTCAAAACATATTATAAACTTTTTATAATTTTTTCAAGATATTTTTTCTTACATTCTTAATATTAACAAATGTCATGAAAATACTTGTTAACATTTACATTAATACAATGATTTAAAAGAGGCTTGAGACCCCCAACAATACCCTCTAATCCGATTTAGATAGGAGAGAAACTGTAGCCCTCCCTTAATATAGTGAAAATTATACTATGTTCTGGGGCAAATTCATGTAGTGCTTTTAATTTATTTTTTTATTAATTAAATTTATCATTTTTATGTTGAGTTTTAAAAGACAACAAAACAAATATCACAAAGTAAATGATATGAAAGATTACAGCAAGATCACCGAATAATCTCTCCTTAAATCTCTCAATTTCTCTGGTTGAGCAGTCTGTCAATAGATGCAAATATCACCATAGTGATGTAATGCAGCAGTTCAATAACAACTCAATATGTTTGCATGCACCATAAATTCAACTGTTTCTTATCATAATTAATTAAAAGGGGTCTTTCTATTGTGTTTTTAGATTACATGCCAAGTAAACTTAAAAAAAATTGTAATTTTTTTATTATTATTATACAATCCGTTTAAGAATAATGTGTATTTAGAGCAAATGTTAATAAAATCTTAATTAGAACAAAAAGTTTAAGTACATAGAGAAAGCAAAACACAGAATACACATTAACATTTGTATTCTGTGTCCCATTCTGTCAGTGCACATAGCAATTATAATTAAAATTAAGATAACTGCAAGAATACAATTCTTTTAAGAATCATGTGCATTAAGAGCACACATTAACAAAATCTTAATTAAAATTAGGAGAAATGTAAAAAAATGTAAACAACTTAAAATAATTGTTACTTTTTAGAGGTACATGTGAGATTGGGGAATGAATTTGATGCAAGTGAAAGCTAAGAATTGTATTCTGAAATTTTTTAGTTACTTGGCTTTAACGACTAGCTTACTACAATAAGATTCACACTGTTCTAGCGAGATCGTGTAAATATTTGAAATTACTATGTGTTGGAAATGGTAGAAAAATTTTGGGTAAAATCAGAATTTTTTCTTAAGTTTGGTCTATTTTTTAGGTGGGCCCCGAGTGTCGATTTACTCGGGTCAAAGTGGTAACGCGTTCTATGCCGCGTTGTGATTCACGTGGTTTATTTGGTTGCTCAAA